ATCACCACAGTCTCTTGCTCATACATTGTTTCATGAAATTGTCTGTGTCAGCCAATTTCTTTTGGTACAGTGACTCTGTATACTCCTCCCATCTTCTTTTAATGCTTCTTGGATCATTTAGTGTTCTGCCCAAAGCATTCTTAAGTATTGCAACTCAAGCCCTGAATTTGTTTTTCAGTTCCTTCAGCTTAAGAAATACCGAGCAAGTACGACCCTTTTGATTTTCTGACTCCAACTCTTTGCACATTTTATTATAACATTTTGCTTTGTTTTCCCGTACTGCCCATTGAACTCTTCTGTTAATTTCTTCTTTTTGCTTTGGCTTCTTGGTGCTCTAGTACAACATTAAGAGTTTCATCTGACATCCACCTTGGGCTGTAATCAGTTTTTTCCAGAGCTGTGGCTAAGAATTAAGAGAATCCAGTGTAGTATTCTGTACAAAGGGTTTGCTTAATAAGAGTTGAACTGTGTTCATGTCTGGAGGGACTTTGAACAGTTAAGGATCAGATTCTGAAGGGATCTCAGAAGAAGGAATAGCTAGCAGGGGAAATTAGTAGACCATTGTTGGTGATCAATGTCTGCCCGACTGCCTTAGCAGGATTGATGGATGGCTGGACTAGTGGAAATCCTTTGAGAACTGGTGTGTTTCTGTTTGTCCTGTTCAGTTGTCTGAGTGGTTCTTAAGTGTATGTACTTTGTGGATTTGGAATCTATATTTGCTTATGCATAGGATGAAACTGAACTAACATTTTGCAATTAGTCAGAAAATTACAAATTATTTTTTCTCCCTCAGTCCATTTTTTAGTATACGGAAATATCTAATGAAGAGATAAAAAGGGAAAACTGGAAGCTTTCCTTTAACCTATTGCAATGACTACCTCAACTTGGTTTTATGCTTGTGCAAATTTTGACTCATTCTGATAAGTAGTTTTGTACAGAACCACAGTTTCGATGTGGTGAGTGCATAAATCAGGAAGTAAATGGGAAAAACTTTGGGAGCCTACTCTGTAGAAATTACAAATACAGAGGGGAAACGAAGGAAATAAGTGATGAATTGATCACTTTATTTAGTAAGCAGATGCATGCTTTGCCCTACTTTAGCTTTGTTTGTTTTTAATAAACATGAAACCTGATAAATCCTGCTAAAACATGTTGCTAATGAGGTTGATATTAGGGATAAATGAACTGTTGGACTTAGTAATTAACTTTTCTTGCTTAAAAAGTCACCCCTCACCCTGACTAGCTGTCCTGGAGATCAAGACTATTGACGAAAAATTTTTTAAAAATCCACTTTATTATAAATAGAATTTTAGACCATCTTTCAATATGCAAGATGCTTATATGTGTAAAGAATGAAAAACTGCTTATTATCTTTGCCATTCTCCAAGTCGGTTATGTCATAGAAAATAATTTGAAACAGTTGTTTTGTGTACCCCAAATCAGTCAAATATTGGCTGTCTTACATATTCAACTGAGTTGTTTCCATTCAAATAATAATGAAATTATATTTGACAACCTCAATGATATTTTTTAAGAAAGCCTATGTCATCAGGGAATTCTTAGTGTTTTTGATAAGTGAGGCTCTAATATTAGTCTGTCAGTGCTGAGCTGTTTGCCAATGTGTCATCAAGAATTCGAGCTGCTGTGCAAAAGGGCCTAACTTCCTGTTCACTAAAAGAGAAAACCATGGACAACCTGCCCAGGTATTTCACTCTTTTCAAGGAAGAGAGGTACAATCAATGCATCACAGAGAAGGTGCTAGTACAGTGCTTCTGTTAGTCATTCCTTTGCACCTGAAAATTTACTTATAAATGCTCCACACTCTTTCTTTCATTTTTATGAGGAAGTTGTGCCCTCCTGGCCATGCTTGCAACCACATTCCTCCGCGAAGATTCACTTCATTTATCATTCTCTCTCTGGCTTCATCCATCCCTACCTTTCTGCTGCTTCTCCACCCTCTTCCTTTAAACCTGCAGAGGCACCCTGCCCTCACTGGCTCCATCCCTCCTAGTTGTTCCAGCTGCCATTGTATTCTTCACTTTACTTTCTTTACTAAATTTCTTGAGGTATATTAACTCTTCTTACGTCCTTCTTATTCCTAGAAAGTTACTGACTCAGCTCTTTAGAGATTCTGTACAGAGCTGTCCACTCACATCATCATCAGCAAACTAAAGAATTATTCCTCTGGTTTTTGAGTCCTTAACCCTCAGCGACTTGGCAGTGCCGTCAAGTCTTCACTTCTGATACCATTGTCCTCCCATGGTAGTCAAAAGACTGTATCCTGAGTCTCCTCCCACCTCCCTTACTCTTCTTTCTGTGGGTCTTCTCTTCCTAATTCCATCTCCTACACAGACAGATTCTCTACTTATTTCTCTTTGGGTCTTTTCCTTATATTCTCTAACTCTTCTCAATATTTTCATGTTACTGACCTAATCCACATTTCTAATCTAGTCCAAAGCCCTCTCCAGTTACAAACAGACATTTAATAAAGCCAATGAGACAGTGCCATGGATATGGCCATGAATTTGACATTTGCGAATCAAAGTTCAAGTGTGGCTCATCTACTTACAAAATTTTACATTGCTTAATATGGGAGTATCAGAGTTCTTAGAGGATTGCTCTTGTTGTTCTTATTAGGTGATGTCAAAATGAGTATGATTCATAGCGAACCTATCTGAGCCTACATATTCAAATCTATATGAAATATTTTCCATGTTTTTTCTGAACATCTCTTCCTGCTTATCCCAGGGTCCTGCTGTCGAGTTGATTCTTTCTCATTGAGACTCTCCATTATGTTTCTAAGACTATAAATCTTACCAGGAGATGTCCCATCTTTCTCTTGCAGAGTGGCTAGTGAATTTGATCTGACAATCTTTTGGTTAACAGAGTAATACACAACGTAATATGCCATCCTTTAAAAGCTCCTTTATGGCGTGATTGTCAAATGTGATATTTCCAAAATTAAGTGCATTACTTTCTCTCTCACTTTGAGCACACAACAATAACTTCCCAGTAACCTTATTTCCGTTATGAGTACCACCATACTCTCAACTTAATACAGCCTGACTAGATGTTTTCATATGCTCCCACCTCACATCCTTCCTTTACCTTTTCAACCTATAGGCAGAACAGATTATCCAGGAGGTTGGGCTCTATGAGGAGAAATGTGGGGTCAAGATTGTTGGACAATTTATCAACAATCTGCATTATGCAGATGACACAACCCTGCTTGCTGAAACTGAAGAGGACCTGAAGCGCCTGCTGCAGAGTGTCAAGGACTGCAGCCTCCAATATGGATTGAGGCTCAATGTCAAGAAGACAGATTCTCACCACTGGACCGATTGGCAGCATCAGGATGGATGGTGAAGAGATTGAAATTGTTTACAGCTTTAGTTTGCTTGGCTCCACCGTCAACACTCTTGGCACCAGTAACCAAGAAATTAAAAGGCGCATTGCCATGGGAAAGTCTGCTCTTAGGGACCTCTCCAAAGTACTGAAGAGCAATGGTGTCTCTCTGGAGACTAAGGTGCGTTTGATACAGGCCATGGTCTTCGCAATCACTTGTTATGCATCAGAGAGTTGGACAATGACCAAAGAGGATAAAAGGACAATTGATGCCTTTGAGCTGTGGTGCTGGAGAAGAGTATTGAGAATACCATGGACTGCTAGGAAAACAAACAAACTGATCCTGGAAAGGGTTAAACTGGGTGGTTCCTTGGAGGCAAGGATTCTGAGCCTCCATCTAACATATTTTGGACATGTTGTGAGGAGAGACTGGTCCTTGGAGAAGGACATCATGCTTGGGAGGGTGGAGGGACGGCGAAGGAGAGGAAGGCCCTCTATGAGGTGGATTGATTCAGTGACTGGGATAATTGGGATGGGAGTGTCAGAGACAGTGCGATTGGCACAGGACAGAGCAGAGTTTAGGGCTGTTGTACATAGGGTCGCTATGAGTCGCAGGCGACTCGACGGCACATAACAACAACAATAACATCCCCAAGCATATAGATTTTATATCTATAACAGATCTTTGAGTACTCTTCTTTCATCCCTATCAGCTCCAGCACATCTTTCCTGGGCTTCTATAATTACCTCATGTTTGCTTCCAACTTATATCATCCTACATACAACTATCAGGTTCATTTTCTTAAGACACTTAACTTTTAGTGAATGTCCCATTACTTAAAGAAACAAGCCCAAACTTTTAAACATGATATTCAGGTCCCTTATGGTCTAGAACCAAAATTTCTACCCAGTCATTTCCTTCCATTAATGGTGATATACACTCACCTACATTCCAACTGTCTACTCCTACTTCCTAAACGAGTCTTTTGATTCACAGATTTGTCATAAAGTTTCCTTCACCTAAAATCTTGACTACTCATTCACTTCCCGTGTCATATTTTCAGTCCTCCAAAGTCTATCTCAAATGTCCTCTCCTCCATAAACCTCCAATTATTACCATGCCGAAGTCATGCAAACTTACCTTCCTTCAGATTCCTCAGAACACTTTTACTATATCAGTCTCACAGAGAATCAGTGACCTCTAGTGGCTTAGTGGTAAGAAGTTGAACTACCAACCCAAAGGCATCCATCAACTGCTCTGTAGGAGAAAGATGGGAAATCTCCTCCTGGGCTATTTACTGCTGTTGAAAATCTGCTGAAGAGACCAGCTATGAGTAGGTTCCAACTTGATGGTATAACCACCACCAGCATAGATAACTAACTGCCACACTATTTGTTGATACAATCTAGATATCAAAGACAATCCCAAACTCATCTTTGTACCTAGGCAGTCTCTCAAGCATCAGAAAGAACAAAGATGGTTTAATAAATATTTACAGTCTATTCTTGCTGGTTTTGGTAAGTTCCAGCAAATACTGAATTAGTGCCTCCTTTACCTTTGACTGGAAATTGATATGCCCATCCTTTAATGACTGGGAAAGCTCCCCGAGTATCTTTAGTGAATGGTCAAATCTGCAAGTCCACAGATAACGAAAATGGATTGTATTTAATTGTTAAATGAAGTGCTAATTTTCATAATAATCTATTGATGTAAAATGTCTCAAATGTGGTGTTAATTCTTCTGAAAAGTACTGGACAATACAAGAGAAGTGTTACCTAGGTATCAGAAATAATACTATTTGCAGAAATAAGCATGCTCTGATATACACAGGTACTTCAGACATCATATTTTTTAAAAATGTTTTCATGGTGAATTGTAACACACATGTAAAGAAATAAATAAAACATGCATATGCTGTTTAATAAACAAGTTTAAAAGTAAAACCCGTGTAATCACTACTCAGGTGAAGAAACAGAACATTGCCAAGGCGGACCCATCCACATGGCAGCCCTCCCTCACTCTGCAATTGCCTTCCTGACTTTATTGGGAACCACTTCCTTGCTCTTCTGTATGGTCTTCTGTATGCTCTTCTGTATGTACCCATTATTTCTATGTCCTTAAACAACAGAGCACTATTTTGCCTGTTTTTAAGCTTTATAAAGTGTAGAGTCATTTTATATATAATCAAAGTCAAAACCTCAAACTCATGGGAGATTTCCAGACTTTCTCCTAAGGAGACGCTGGTGGATGGGACTAAACAATGAGACCTTTTTATATAATCACAATGACTCATTAATATTATTAAAAATTAAAATAGTTGCAATTCATTCATTTTTCTATATAATCTGCTTTCCGTATATATTAAAGTTTGTGCGTTCTGTGGTTGATGTGCATGTGAGTTGGTTTCAGTTTGAGGCTATAATAAGCAGTGCTACTGAGAATATTCGATCACATGTAGATTGAAGCATAGTTCACATATTTCTCTAAGACATAGAACTCTAAATGATACCAGCTTTGCTAAAAAAGTGTTATGAACTTTGTAGTGTTAACTTTTTAGTAGTTAATAAAAACTACTAAACTGAGTTATGAAAATGATACAACGCTGCTTGCTGAAACTGAGGGGGACCTGAAATGCTTGCTGAGGGTCAAGGACTGTAGCCTTCAGTATGGATTGAAGCTCAATGTCAAGAAGACAAAGATTCTCACCACTGGACCAATTGGAAGCATGAGGATGGATGGTGAAGAGACTGTTAACAACTTTAGTTTCTTGGCACCAATAGCCATGAAATAAAAAAACGTATTGTGATGGGAAAGTCTGCTGTTAGCGACCTCTCCAGGGTACTGAAGAGCAATGGTGTCACTCTGGAGACTAAGGTGTGTCTGATACAGGCCATGGTCTTTGCAATCACTTGTTATGCATCACAGAGTTGGACAATGACTAAGGAGGATAGAAGGAGAATTGATGCCTTTGAGCTGTGGTGCTGGAGAAGAATATTGAATGTACCCTGGACTGTCAAGAAAACAAACAGATTCATCCTGGAGAGGGTTAAAACAGGCTGCTTCTTGGAGGCAAGGATTCTGAGGCTTTGTCTGACATACTTTGAACATGTTGTAAGGAGGGAGAGGTCCTTGGAGAGGGACATCATGCTTGGGAGGGTGGAGGGACGGTGCAGAAGGGGAAAACCCTCTATGAGGTGGATTGATTCAGTGACTGGAGTAATCAGGATGGGTGTGTCAGAGGCAGTGAGATTGGCACAGGATAGAGCAGGGTTTAGGGCTGCTGTACATAGGGTCGCTATGAGTTGCAAGCAACTCGATGGCACATAACAACAATATTTTAAATTTTTTTCAAGGTATTCTGACTTCTATTCTTGGGGTACTTATTACAAAGAGAACATGCCCTAAATATATTTAGCTAAAGTTTATTAACAAATAAGTATATTTTAAATTATTATGATAATTATATGATAGGTTGATTTGTTGACTGTTTGGACTCAGCAAACACATATGCACATTTTAGTTGGCCATTTATCCTTTCTGCTTGCCCCTTACTCTTTCTGCCCTTATTTTGTTGGCCCACTTCTATTCCTAAGTATTATTTTAATTTCATGATTCCTACACTCAGCCTTATCATGATGTATATATAGGGCATGCTTTCACTTTTTTTTTTCCTTTCCCTTTTCTGATTCTAAGTCCTTGAGAGTTTCAAGCTTAAACATTTAATGGTTTGAAGTCCCCACCAGTACTATGGGAGGAAGCCATGGCAGTCAACTTCCATTAAGATTACAGTCAAGAAAACCCTAAAGTGTTAGAACCTTTGGAGTTTGCCGTAGAATCAATTCAAGACAAGGAGGTTTTTGTTTTCCACTTTAGTCTGCTTTACTGTTTGTCCTTGTGGATTCACAAAATTCAGCAGCTACTCTATTTCTTCTGTATTGTATTAAGAACCCTTCTGTTAATCCTATAGCACCAGAATCACTCCCCATTGAGTTTTTCCAGTGCCTCTCAGCCCTCTTCCCCTTCCTCTGGGCTCTAAGCCTCTACTTAAAATTCTAGCTCACCTTATGACATCTCTCTCATTTGTTCTTTCTGTAACACAAAAGAAGAATAAACTAGACATTACTAATAATTATAATAGCAAGCTGTACTTTTTATTTCTGATTTTTATTTTTAAAATGTATTTGTCAAATTAAATGTTGGATTTTATAGAAAACTATTATAAAAGTTTTTCATAAAGCTATAACAACATTTCAAAAGATCACAAAAAAACACTCTAAATCCCACAATATAGAAAGGAAATATCTGCTGCCTCTTTAGGTGCTAATTTTAGCTGGTCTTAACAGCAGACATGAACAAGAGCTACAAATAGTCCCAAACAACCAACCAGAAAAATCATGGTACCATGGTCAGAGCCATCGTCTGATGCTTCAGTGACAATAATAGTGGGAATTGACAGGTAACAACCACCCTGGATTTTGAGACTTGAAGAAGTACTGAATTTTCCCATAATTTAAAATCATATAACATAGCAAATGCCATACATCAAATTTACTTTAAAATTAGAACACTTAGTTTAAGATAAGCAGATATATATTATGGTCGTGGCCATGTTACACTGATAAAGCCAACATTTCCCTCCCCCCTTTTTAAAAGCCTAGAGACTACTATGAAGATAGACATTATAAAAGAATAAGCAACTCATCAAGTCATTCCACTACCACTCAGCCTAAAGAAGGCACCAAACATTTGATTATAACTAATAACTTGCTATCTCATTTACCAGAATTCTAATACAGGGAGCTGCATAATATGATACACTGGGAACTGTGGCTAATCTATTTTTATTCCCCTTTCTTCTAGTGCAAGCTGAGCTCAGCGTTGGTCAGAGACTAGTAACAATTCAGAAAGGACCGCTGTTTCGAGCTCAAGGTTACCCTATCAGCATTGGCTGCAATGTAACTGGCTACCAAGGGCCTCCTCTGCAGCACTTCGAGTGGTTTGTTTACCTGCCAAATGCCCCAGATCGGGAAGTCCGCGTGATTAGCACAAAAGAAGCTATCTTTCCCTCAGGACTGTATGCAAATCGTGTGCAAAGCCGGGATATCTACGTGGAGAGGGTTAGGGACAACTCAGTCGTGCTGCACATCGCAAACGTTCGGAAGGAGGATAATGCTGTGTATGAGTGCCACACACCGAACACTGATAGTAGCTACTTGGGCGTTTATAGTGCGAAGACCAGTCTAACTGGTAAAGCCATTAGTTTTTCTGCTAATCAGACCTGAGAAGCCACACTTTCGGCCATTACAATTGTTAGCAATGTGATAGCAATCTATTTGCTGTGGCAGAAGTGCCCATGCATGCCTATGAATATTTTGAGGATTTGTCATAAGTTGGTATCAGTGTTTTAAGGACTCTTATGTCATTTCCTTAATAATTTTTGCCATGAAAAGTTGTTTGCTGTGGAATCAATTAAAAATTTAAAGGCCAACTTATCCACAGTCATCCGCAATTAAATAATAGCAAGAACATCAGACAAAGCTTTGATATTTCTTCCCACATTGCACTGTCTTCTTGAGGATTGAACATTGAGTTGATAAGAGACTTGGTATTCATGTCATAGGCAACAAAATCATTAACTTCAAACTGATTATTCTCAAACCACCATGCATATTTACAAACTGGAATGCGCCCATAGTCCTTGCTTTTGCCATTCTCTTACCTGTTACTCCTTGTTCAGCCTAGCAAACTCCTGCACGCACTTCAGGACCCTGTTCTGATGTTACCTTTTCTGTGGAACCTATTCTGTCTGCCTTAGGCAATGTTCCACCCTGTTTCCTCTTGATGCTGCTATTACTAATACCCACTCATTTATGTGGCTGTTTACACCCCTCTCTCTTTTTACTTATGTTTGAGTTCTGTATTTTGGAGTTCTTTCATTGACTATGTAGATATTTCTAATGGTTATGTTCTCTTGCTTAATTTACCTTTTTAAAATTATTTATTGGTATGAACACAATAGTTCATTTTTATTGTGATTTATTCACATAAATTGTGCTTTATACAATCTATCATTTACATTGTGTTTCATACAATCATTCATAGACATTGTATTTTTTTTATTAAATTTTATTAGTTTTAATGAACATTTACAGAGATTTTGGGTTTTCATTCATTCATTGTTGCACTGTTTTCTCCACCCTCATCCCCAGTTC